GAAAATTGGGTGAAAAATGAGCGAAAAATGAGTGAGAAATGGGGTAAAATGAGCGGCTCCCGCGGGGGATTCGAGCGCGGCTCCCGCGGCGCCTCCATGGGGTGGGTACAGGAAATATCAACCAAAATGGGGGAAAAACACCCAAATTGGGGAAAAATGGGGAGAAAAGGTGAAAATTGGGTGAAAAACGAGTGAGAAATGGGGGTAAAATGAGTGAGAAATGGGGGAAAATGACAGAGAAATGAGCAAGAAATGGGTGAAAAATGAGCGAGAAATCAGGGAAAAATGGGTGAAACATGAGCCAGAAATGAGTGAAAAATTGGGAAAAAATGGGGAGAAAAGGGGAAAAATGGGGAGAAAAGGGTGAAAATTGGGTGAAAAACGAGTGAGAAATGGGGGTAAAATGAGCGGCTCCCGCGGGGGATTCGAACGCGGCTCCCGCGGCGCCTCCATGGGGTGGGTACAGAAAATGTAAACCAAAATGGGGCAAAAACACCCAAATTGGGGAAAAATGGGGAGAAATGGGCAAAAATTGGGTGAAAAACGAGTGAGAAATGGGGTAAAATGAGCGGCTCCCGCGGGGGATTCGAGCGCTGCTCCCGCGGCGCCTCCATGGGGTGGGTACAGAAAAAATAACCCAAAATGGGGCAAAAAATAGAGAAATTGGGGAAAAATGGGGAGAAATGGGCAAAAATTGGGTGAAAAATGAGCGAAAAATGAGTGAGAAATGGGGTAAAATGAGCGGCTCCCGTGGGGGATTCGAGCGCGGCTCCCGCGGCGCCTCCATGGGGTGGGTACAGAAAATAGAAACCAAAATGGGGCAAAAAATAGAGAAATTGGGCAACGTGGAGACGGGAAAAAAAAATGAGGGGAATGGGCAGAAAATCAGCAAAAAATGGGGGAAAATGAGTGAGAAATGGGGGAAAAATGAGCAAAAAATTGGGGGAGAAAAGGGTGGAAAGTAGGGAAAAATGAGCAAGAAATGGGCAAAAAATGAGCGAGAAATGAGCAAAAAATGGGGAAAAAGGGGAAAATGAGTGAGAAATGGTGAGAAAAGGGAAAAATGGGGAGAAATGAGCGAGAAATGGGAAAATTGGAGATTTTGGGGGGAAAATGGGGAGAAAAGAACGAAAAATGAGTCAGAAATGGGGGAGAAAAGGTGAAAAATGGGGAGAAAATGAGGGAGAAATGAGCAAAAAATGGGTGAAAAATAGGGAGAAAAGGGGGAAAAATGGGGATAAAAAGGGAGATTTTGGGGGAAAAAGGAAAAATGTATGTTTCAGGGAAAAAATTGGTGGGAAAATGGAGTTTTTTTGGAGAAAACGTGGAAAAAACCGAGTTTGGGGTTAAAAAAAGGTGGAGAAATGGGAGTTTTGAGGAAAAAAAGGTGGAAAAAAAATGGTGCCCAAGGTCACTCAGAGCCTCTGGTCCCGGCAGGGGAAAAATGAGAAATTTGGGGAAAAAATAGAAAAAAAAATAATGGAAAATTCAGGAAAAAAGGTGGAATTTTGGGGAAAAATATGGAGAAAAGGGAAAAACAGGGAAAATGGTGGAATTTTGGGGGAAAATACCAAATGGGAAAAGGTGAAAAAAGGTGGATTTTGGGAAAAAATGGTGAAAGAGGTGGAAAAATGTTTAAAAATGGTGGAATTTTGGGAAAAATGTGGAAAAATGGTGGAATTTTGGTCAAAAACGGAAAAAAATGGTGCTTTTTGAGGTGAAAAATGGTGAAAAAATGTGAAAAAAAGGTGAAAAATGGGAATTTTTGAGGTTTGGTGTCA